GAGAGAGACAGGGAGAGAGAGAGAGAGAGAGAGAGAGAGAGAGACACGGAGAGAGAGAGAGAGAGAGAGAGAGAGTCACACATCATCCAGCTGCTCATCATGTTAATCACACACAGATCACAGTAACATCAGCTGTAGGCGGACATGATGAACCGCTTCTATACTCACGTGACTCTTCATGATAATATCTCGTCGTTCGGTACCAAATTTCGATACCTAAGGGGTTAATCTCATCAGCGTCAGTGAGCCAATAAGCCTGCAGCACTAGCCGGTGTGTTCGACTAGAAGAGGCGCGGCGCACGTCGGTCAGCCGCAAGGATTCGAAAGCGCCCTAACAGATGTGTAAACTGAAGACTATTTGAGCTTTATTAAAACTATTTTGCACTGATTTATTGTGTTGGTTACATTTTGTTCCTTTGTGCAGTGGCTCAGGAGATGAGTCTTTGAGTTTGTATAAACATCAACAAGCTGAAAAATAAAACCAAAGTTTTTTTTTTAGATAATGTAATCTTGTTAAAATTGATTTCATAAAATTGGTATCGAAAAAAGTATCGTTCAGGAACCGTATCGAAGTCAAGGTATCGGTATCGAACATTTTTGAACGATACCCAGCCCTAATAATATTATCCTTTACATGCGTCTTAAAACCTGCCCGTTTAAACTCGTTTTAACCTCTCAAGTGCAATATCTGATGTGCAACAGCAGCTTAATTCATGTTCATCAAACCACAAATGACAGAGAAAATCACTCGCAGCTCCTGTAGCTTTAATAAGGAATGATGTATATGTATTTCAAACAGTAACACTACTGATTTGACGGCGCTGATATCAGATGAGAACAAAACCTGATCTGAATTCTGAACTGATCTGAATAATAACTCTATTGTCTTCTGTAGAGCTGATTTACAGCTGAAATAGAGTTTGTTTCACAACTGATGAATTTTACAGCATCACCACTGTTATTTTCCTGGTAATTACTGTCAAGCTGCTTTGAAACAATGTGACTTACTTTTACATGTGATTATTTCAATTTGATGAAATTTCAATCATCTAACATTTTGGCGTCATATCTACCTTATTTCCAGCAAACAATCATATTGTGATACATATGTATATATGACTCAACATATGTGTGTGTGTGTATACTGTATATATATATATATATATATAAACACACACACACATATATATCGTACTCAGTTTGTGATTTGTAGTTTGTGCTTCACATACATTTTCTGCAGGACTTGTGCCATGGCCACTCCGCTGGTCATCTCGTCCACCGCTGAACACGGCGCCTCCACAGCGAACGTCTGGATCTGAACACAACACACAAACACTGTGAACCACGGCAGAGACGCTGAGCTTCATCCGCGTGTTCATGTTCTCGAGATCGGCTGTTACATGCACAAACGCTTTCATTTTAGACCTCACATGTGGAGTTGGGAAACTCAAGCTTGTGCATCTCTCTCTTACACACACACACACACACACACACACACTCACACAGGCTCCATTCACTTCTGCTTATGCAATGACGCTGTAATCTGCATTAAGAGCTCTCAGTTCCTGGAGACCCAGCTTTCTCTCAGGTTTCCACAACGGAAAGGGTTTTTGCATTTGGGAGCTCTGGACGACCATCAAAACACAATCCGACTCAACAAACCGCTATTGTGCTGCGCAGATTTCATCACTAACATCACAGCGTCTCACTGAACCCAGGACCAGGACAGGAAGTCCCGCCCACAGGAAGCAGAGCTGGAAAACAGCTGTGGTTGAATCACACAGGCGCTGGTGTAAACAGGAAGTTGTGCGTCAGCTGTGATCCGAGCGTCTGACAGCAGCTCTGGGAGGAATGTGAGACGTCAGCGTGTGTGTTTGGGTGTGAGACGCTTCACATCTGGAGCAGAAACTGAAAGCGGCAGAGACTTTTCACTTCTGCTTCTTTACAGCCTGCTGTCTGCACTGCCTTGAACTGGACTGAATTCAGCAGTAAATCACAGCGCTGCTTCTCTAGTGTTTAACCGCAGGCGCCGCTCATCAGCAGTCAACTCAATCTCTCACATTCATCATCACACTGTTGCTTTCTGTGGCATGAATGTTAATCAAACAACAAAACAGAGAAAAATCACTTTTGTAGCTTTAACACAGATTTATTAGATTTAATGTATACAGTGAAGACTATGTAGTGTTATTTTACATTTGATTATTCAATATCTGACTTACCTGAAAACAATAATGCACCGTTTATTTCATTTGTATCTTTGTTCTATTCTATTTATCTCTGCTTGTAATTTGTTTGTTTTTTAGATTTACTCGCCTACAAAAATCACCCCAATCACTGATTATTGTTTTCAAATAGAGCTATTCAAGTCATCTGGTGATTTTTTTTTTTTTTCATATGACAAAAAAAACCAAAATATTGCAATGTGAGATTTTTCCAGTATCGTGCAGCCATCCGTGCTCATGTGTGCATGTGTCAGATATAAACAATCTGATTAAGAGCCGCTAACACTGATCAGGACAGAGCTAATGACCATCTTCATACAGCAGTCCCTCATCATGGGCCTTGACTAGCAGTCCAACACCCTAAACCCGGTCTGAACTGCTGAAGAGAGACCGCACTGATCCAGCAGCACCCCACTGAAGGCCATTATATGCAGAACAATCCCGGAATGTGTTCCTCAAAAACCTTCATTTCTTTGCGACTGAAGACAGAAAGACACGAACATCTCGTTCAGAGTAAAGGATCAGGAGATGTTTATTCTGGAAGTGAACTAGTGCTTTAAGAACTAGTCAGACCGGCTAGTTAGTCAAACAGTAACCAGTCAACTTCTCAGATTTTAATTAGACCGAGCTAGATCTGTGTGTAAGTGATTTTAAAAAAGCGTTAAGCTTTAATGACTAACGTAGTTTGGTCCAATATGAATCAGGGATGTAAGACTGGTTAACTCTTGACTGACTGCTAGTTAGTCAGACTAGTACTCGTGTTTTTGTACCGTGATCATCAATATATCTCATGAAGAAGCGCTGCGACAGTATCGCAGTACAGCGATACCACGGTAAGTTACTCTGGTATTTAACGTTACCATGGTAACGTTACTGAAAGATTACCGCTTTCTTGAGTCATATGTACGCGCGACTCGAAGAAGAATATGACAGAAGTATATAAACCTCAGAACTCACCCAGGTCAGGAGACTCTCACACAGCTCGACTCGACCCAGAGTCTCCAGCGCGCTCATCTTCGATTCGGATCGGACTCGGACTGAACTGTTCAATCGCGCGAATCTCCGGTGGAAGGTGAATAAACGAGTGAAACGGAGCTTCCGCCGCTCACGGTGCGATCAGTGTCCGGCGACGAGTGAAATCCTGTCGGTTTTCGCGGCGAGACGCTGATTTTGACGGACAAACCGGCGGTGACGGGGTCCTTCAGCTGCCACCCTGCAGATCCGGACACCTACTGCCTGACGGAAAATCTCACCGCTTTGCTGAAAGATGGACTTAAAACGGATAAAAAAACAATATAATATTAAATTATTATGGTAAAAAATCGCGCAAATAAGACTCGATAATGCGAGACAGGCAATGAAACGCGCCGCTTTCAACACGGTGACGCGGAGGAATGCGGAACTCTGTGCGTTTAAAATAAAAAAGGGAACAGAGTTTTTATAAGATATGACGAATACGCAAGAAAATGTTGATAGAGTGATAGGATTCTTATCTCGTTTTTCCTCCGAATGTAATGCTTTTGTTTGACCCACACTCCGGAGCAGAAGGCGGCGGTAATGAGCCAGTAATCAGCATATTCACCGCCGAAGAAGAAGAACGCAAACACACACCCACACACACACACACACACAAACATTTATCTTTGCGAAAGCGTATTTGAGGCCTGAAACTGTGCTGTTTATCTCATGTAAGTCACTGATATACTAATGGTACTTCATATAATCTGTTTTCTCATCTACAATCAGACGTGTAACGTTAAATATAATGTTATTATCTCATAGTTAGACGTGTACACAGTATGTCGTTCTTATAGATTATCAGGTGTGTGGTGTTATTCTCATATTATCAGACATGTAGACTAACAGTCATACGTTTGAGGTCAGTACGAGTCAGAAGCAGTAGAATTGTGAAATATTGTTACAATCTAAAACAGCTGTTTTCTATGTGAATATCTGTTAAACTGTAATATATTTCTGTGATGCGCAGCTGTATTTTCAGCATCATTACTCCAGTCTTCAGTGTCACATGATCTTCAGAAATCATTCTAATATGCTGATTTGCTGCTCGAGAAACATTTATTATTATTATCAATGTTGAACACAGTTGTGCTGCACAATATTTCTGTGGAAACTGATGTATTTTATTTTTCAGGATTCACAGATGAACAGAAAGTTCAGAAGAGCAGCATTTATTTGAGATAGCATCATTATAAATGTCTGTTCTGTCGCTTCTGATCAGTGTAATGCGCCGTGCTGAATGTGTGTGAGGGCTGGAGGATATGAGCAGCTGTGATGGACGCTACGGCTCCCGAGGAGGGCTCTCTGATTGAAGGAGTGAGTGACCCTGTCCTGCTCGTGCTGGGGCTCAGCGTCAGCTTTCTGCTCGCTCTGACGACGCTGCTCTGCAGGTGAGACCCTGACCTCTGACCTCTGACCTCTGACCCCACACTCCTCCAGCACATACTAACACGCCGTGCACTGTGTGTGCTCTCAGGAGTGAGCAGCAGAGGATTCACCCGGAGAATCAGCAATAGTCGATTTAACTGAGTCTTCTGTAAAGTGTGTTTCAGAATTGATGAACGTTATAACATTAGCATTGTTATTTTCCTGTTTATTACTGTACTGTACTGTACGCTAAGCAACATACACTATGAAATCACGGCTTTGTGATTAGGGTTGCAAAAAGGTGGAAAATTTCCAGGATTTTGTTTGGGAATATTCCAGGGATTTTTGGAAAGTTTCCGGAAATGTTCCACCCCTTTGCAACCCTATTTGTGATTGTTTATATTGTCGCAAAATGTAACTATATTATCGTCTAGCATTAATCTGCTAAAAGCGACTGTGACATAAAGGTATTATAAACATTAACATCATGATTTTGGGTAAAGCTGCATTGAGACAGTGTGTGTATAGATATATAAATGTGCTAGACGTGACTCCAGCGCTGCTCCTGTGTTCCGCAGCTGTCGTCGTCAGAGCCCAGGCCTCAGTTTTACTCAGACATGTCGTGTCCCGTGTGTCTGCAGCAGGCCGTTCTGCCCGTGGAGACCAACTGCGGTCATCTGTTCTGCGGTGAGACTGAGCTCAGGTGCTGTTAAACATGAGCGTATCTGCTGATCTGTAATCACTTCTCTCTGTGTTTAACCGCAGGGCCGTGCATCATGGCGTACTGGCGCTACGGGACGTGGCTCGGCGCCATCAGCTGCCCCATCTGCAGACAAACGGTAAAAGTCCACACAAAAATATTCCATATACTGAAGCTCAGTGTGTCTGGCAATACACTCCTGAGAGTGTACACTCAGACTTCTGTCACGTTAAAGCATGATAAATAACCACACAGCGACTCCAGTGTTTGTATTGGTTTGTCAGGTGACCCTGCTGTTCCCGCTCTTCCGTGACACGGGGCGCAGCGCTCAGACGCAGGAGGACCAGGTCGAACCCGCGCTGATCCTCAGAGACATCCACGACTACAACCGCCGCTTCTCCGGACAGCCGCGCTCCGTGAGTGTGAATCCAGGCCGTGCTTCTCATCTGTGAAACGGAAGATAGACATATCATATAAGTTTGTCGCTTTTACTCACTCTCAAGTCCTTCCAAACCTGTATGAGTTCCTTCAAAAGAAGATATTTTTATATTTTCCAGTCCTTCCATAGTGGGGTTTTTTTCCATACTAAGGAAGTCAATGGGGACCATCGACTATTTGGTTACCAACATTCTTAAAAATATCTTCCTTTTGAAGTACAGGTTTAGAACGACTCCAGGGTGAGTAAATGCTGACAGTGTTTATTTTTTGGGTGAGCTGTCCCTTTAAGAGGCCAGTTGCTTGTAGTGGCCGATGAAACCCACAGTTTCTCGATCAGTCGATGGCTGGGAAAATAAAGCTTGAGCAGAAGAGCAACTACAGGCCGTTTGGTACTTGTTAAGAACTGCTGTGACGTCATTTCAGACGAACTCAGGCCAAAAGCGTCTTGCCAAAGCAAACTTTCCAGAAAAGTTCTCCCCGACTGGTCTTATGTAACTGGTAAAAACAAACAGGCGACTGTTCTTTCTACTGGCTTTATAGTAATTCTAATTAAAAGCAGTTTCTTCATGTTTTAGTACTGGTTTAAAGCAGTCTAGTGTATAAGTGATGATGCTTGACGGGCCTCAGGAGAACACTAGCATGTAGAAGAGCTCTCGGCTGACTGTGTTTGTGTCTGTGTGTGTCTGTGAAGCTGCTGGAGCGTCTGCGGGACGTCCCGACGCTGCTGCGGCACGCCTTCAGAGAGATGTTCTCCGTCGGAGGCCTCTTCTGGATGTTCCGCGTCCGGATCCTGCTGTGTGTGCTGGCCGCGCTGATGTACCTGGCCTCGCCGCTGGACTTCATCCCCGAGGGAGTGCTGGGGCTGCTGGGCTTCATGGACGACTTCTTCGTCATCCTGCTGCTCTTCATCTACATCTCCATCATGTACCGCGAGGTGGTGACGCAGCGGCTGGCCGGATGAGCGTCTGATCTCTGCTTTAGCCTCCGCTTCGTCCTGCTTCATGAACTGAACATTCAACGCATTTGTTTCATAAGAACACGTTTGATTAGTCCTCATAAAGCGCTGGTGTTCTGTGCTCAGCGCAGCGTGAAGAAGAACAAACACACAAAACATGAGAGACTTCTCTGCACTATTACAGACGTGTTTGATACGACAGAGCTGAAATCTGACGCTCGGACTCGTGCTGATGGATGTTTGTACGTCTCACACACACCAGTGTCTTCAGTCTGGCATCTTCTCTTGACGAAGCTCAGATGGTGTCATTCAAACAGGGCTGATATCTGCATTAAAGAAAGATTCTAGAAAATTACAAATTCTGAGTTCATCTGTGTTTTTGATGGTTTTTCTGAAGTGTTGCAAATGAATATTTGTTACATTAGAGTTCAAGAAGCAGGCAAACAGCTGGAGAACAGCGGAATAACCATAAACTAAAGAGCTAAGGCCATTCTAGTGATTTTGCCAGAGTAAATAAGGCATGCAACCTCCTGGATCACGGTAAAATGACTAGAATGCATTTTGGGAGGATTGGGCCAATTGCCACTGTATTTCAGCTCTTTGAAACCATTTCCCTCCTTAATGTTTAATTATGAAAAGTCACGAATCACTTTTCAGTGCTAATAGTGTGTGTGTGTGTGTGTGTGTGAGAGTGAGTGTGACAGTGAGTGAATGTGTGAGATCACACACCCCGAACAATCCTCTTATGCCAGTATAATCATATAATCAGGCGCTGCCATATTTTGCTGTGATGCTGTCACGGCTCTAGCACTTGATTTTATTCTTATTTTCTTGTAGAAGTAGGCTTTGAGAACAACCACAATCATTCCTGCTCCAAAAACACGGACGACTGCTGATGGAAGAGTGAGATGCTTGAGAGCAGACGGATGCAGTGAGCAGCAGGTGGCAGCAGACGCTGGTCAAACTGCTGTGGAGAGCATGAAGAACCGCATCAGCTGCAGCACAATATAAAGATCTCAACCACTCAGCCGGGGTAAATAAGAGCCCTACAGCCCCCTTAATCACGGTAAAATTACCAGAATGCATTTTGGGAGCATTGGGAGAAACATCCTCAAATCTGAACGGAACTTAGTAAAACCTTTAGCTTAATTTCCACTGTGTTTCTGGTATTTGAAGTCATTTTTTTCCTCTCTAGTCACTTTTCAGTCTATTTGAGCTTCTCTTGATCTATTGCTGAAGCGCTGAGAGTCATTCAGAGCCTCAGAAGAGAGCAGTGTTCACCGATCATCTATGACTTATAGCCTCCAGTGGCTTTGGCAAAATGTATGAAATGATAAAAGAGACACGGATGCTTATTAAATAATTACATGTATAAATGATGCTGCATTGGCTGGAGCCAGCTGAATGAAAAAACACAGTTGTTGT